GGTAAATGGAGAAGGGGATTTGGTGAAGATTAGGTTTTTGGAAGGAAATGATAGAAGAAAGGGGATTGTAATTGTGTATATTTAAGGGGGGGGGGGGGGGGGGAGAGGGGAATGACAAGGGGAGGAGCAGTAGGAGATTGGATGTCGTTACGAAGAGGGGGGAGGGGATAATTTCTGAGGAGCTTGTAGGACAGACACACAGATAGAGAAAGAGAGAGTGCGAGTGGGGGACCAGGCGAGTGATGAGTTGGGGATAGAGGCAGAGAGACACAGCAACAGAGCGAGAGAGGTGGGAAGGGGGCATTCACCCCAGTGTCACGAAGTGTGGCGATCTTGGTCGCTTCTGACACATGGTTGATTTCGGGTGGGATTGTTCTCCCTTCTCGTTCCTCACCCCTAAGCCACAGAGAAGAAGGATTTCCACTTAACATTCCCCACAATACCATCCAAGCTTTAAATTCTCTGCCTAACGATTCTCAATGTTGGCTTAACATTTCATACAGCATGTCACTTCACAACGCTAAATCACAACAGCAAAAAATACATAACTTCTTTTTTAAATGATATGCTAATAGATTTTTGTGTTTGAAATCATAATCAGTATCCTATTGTTAAAAGTAAAAAAAATGTGTTCAAGTAGTTACAAGAATGAACATTTATTCCTAATCTGAAATCTTGAAGCTTTGGTGGTCAAACGTCATTTATCTTTCCCTCCATTGAGAAAATAAAAATTGAAGAAAAAATAATCATAAATATTGCAATGTGTTGCTTTGATATCTCATATCAATAACTAAATAAATAAATAAATAAATAAATATAGTTAGAAAGATATATATATATATATATATATATATATATGTTCAAAATTAATTAATTAAGAGATAAAAAATGATCTTTTAATTCTGTGATGATTGTTGATAACTTCAATCTAATATAAATTGTAAATATATATATATATATATATATATATATATATATAATCAAAAATTTCAACCTGTAATTTATTATTTTTATTGAAGCAATTTGACTAAAAGTATTATGCATATATATATATATATATATATATATATATATCTATTATAATATCAATTTATTTTTGAAACAAAAATGTAATTACAGTAATACAAAGTCACTATATATTACAGTTTTTCAACTTAGGGATATTATTATTAATCTTGTATTTTAATATGATGTACAAAGTTGATAGTCATCAAAAAAAAATTCAAAATTGTTAAATAAATATTTTAATTTACAAAAAACAATGTTTCATATTAATAAGTATATATTTTTTATTCATCTTCCATGACTTAATATAAATTTTTCAAAAAAAAAACAAATTGTGATGAGTTTAACCTTCAAACCGTATACCTAGTTTAGGGAATATTAAGACAACTGCAGACAAATTCCTAATCATCAATCAAGGCAAAGCAATTTTTAGGAATAAAATTTAAACGTTTTAAAAAATGTCTTCAACTATAAACAAGGTTGGACAGTTTTAGGGTTTAATGAAGGAAGTTTTCAAGCATTGGACTTATTCTGGTCGTTTGGGTGCGATGTAAAACTGCCCGTGGTATTCTCAATTCTGACGGAATTTCAAACAATGTCTAGGCTACGGGGTGAAATTTCAGTAGGCTTGTGTGCTTGTATTCATCCAGTGCCTGTGTGTGGCAGATGGGGTTGCAGGGGGGGGGACTCTTCCCTTCCGTTGTGCTCGTTTTGTCGCACTGCGGTGGTTTAGGAGGCATTCTCTTTCCCTGTTCTTATTGTCGTAGTGTTGCTGCTGCTTCCTCTCTCCACCCGCTGTAACTACCATCACCACTACCACCACCTCCTCCTCTCCGCGTCCTTATTGTTCTGCTTCTCAATCTATACTTTCTTTTCTCTTTCCTTATACCCTAACTATGCAGCAGCAGCAGCATCACCACCCGCCCAGCGACGACGATGGAGCAGGCTCCGATGACGATCAGGCTATTCCTTCTCTGCAACCCCTCCTTTCTTTAGCAGCTACCGATCCCCTTCATCACGCTCATGTTCTTACTCGAGAGCAACTCGTGCACCGTCGTGCTCGCCGCCTCCGCCATCTGCTTCGCATGTACCGTCATCAGTACTGGGGTCTCCTTGAGGAATTGCGCTCCAAGTATCGCCGCTTCTACCTCCGTACTGGTAAATCCGGTTGGCGTGGCCGTGAGGTCGATGGGGACCCCAATCCTACTCCTGCTCCAGGTGAGATGAAACAGCCCAATGCGCCTGAGACCCCCGGAACCGAAATCTCTAGGTGTGGGGCGCAAGGTTGCGACGCCAAGCCCCTGCTCTTGAGTAGATATTGCTACACGCATATTCTACAGGAGCCTCGTCAACGCTTGTACAAGCCGTGCTCCTTCACTGTCCGCAGGTGCGTTACTCAGTGTGTCTACTCTTATCGTTATACTCTGTTCCATGCCCTTTTCCAAGGAAATGAAAACACCTCGTTCTATTTCCGGGGCTTATGGCTACTGAACATTCAATTTAGGAAGCTTCAACCATTGTAAACCCTGCCGTGAATGCTACATCTCGTCGCATTGCTGCAGGGGTAGCGAAAAGAATGGCAGCGGGATTTTGTGCCAGAAACCCGTACTTCAAGCGGTGTCACCCCCGTTATGTCCTACCCATTTCCAACAAACTCAGAAGCAGGCAGCGCGCTCTTTACGCAAGGCTGGCATTATGCTTCCTCTCGGGTATTTCCCGAAGTCAGCTCCAAAGCTGCATCATTTTGTGGCTGAATATGTGCGCGTCATTCAATCGAAAAGGCGCACAGCTCTTCGAAATACTCATGGGCGTGGTGAAACGTCCGCAACTAATGGGGAGACAACTTATGGCGTGTCTGGAATCTCCAATCAAGCTGGCGCATTGATCCTTTCGAGAAACACCATCCACAAAAGAGAGGCTGAGGAGCACCCTGCTGAAAGAAACGGTCAAAGGACTGATGAAGCTAGCGGCAAGCCAATTTTGGTTTGAATGTGTAGTCGCGCTTTTGTTTTGTACATATCCAGATTTTTGTATTTAAACTTTGTTAAAACCAAGCTCAAATTATTTTATGCTTCTAAATGTGCATCTTCGAATCCAATGTGTTCTTGATAAGCTGGGGTGCTCCCTTAAAATGAGTATCATGTTGATGAGCCCATCCTTTATTGAGCATCTGGTTTCGTTGATTTGTTTATTGCTTTTTTGTAGACGAATTTTGTGCATTAATTCGTTAACGGCTGTATGCTCAGTCCATGGTACAAATTACATTGTGTGATTGCAGGATCTGATGTATGATTCGCTATTGCAATGTAAGTTTATGCAAGCTCCCGTTCGTGTTTCACCCATTTGAGTACGCAGGATAGTGCGGATACCTGAACTGCAGATAAGTAAACGTTCCGTGCAGTTTAAAGGTTGCAATTATTGTGGTGAACTTTGTGTTCTGTCACCTGGCAGAATCTTCTTCCTCCACATTCGGCATTTATATGGCTTGTAAATTGACCTTCTCCATGTCTTGTTACGCAACAAAATTGTTACTGGCGAATTTATGACTGAAATTTAACACCGTACAACTGTGTGAATTTCTATCTTCAGCATATAGGCTCCACATAATTCTGTTTCAAAATGCGCTATTGGGGAGACTCATAGGGTGTGGGTACTCCAACTTGTAACCGGCAACCTTTTGGGGGAGAAAAGGATCCTGGTGGATTGAGGAAAACCTTGATGGGTCGACGAATTCCTGCAATACCCTGGGATCCCAAGATGCTAGTAATGTGATATCTTTTCATAAATGGAACACGTAATGTAATGTTTAAACATGAGAACATATTGAGACTTTTCAACCGCACAGAAAAGGATGCACTGTTGATGAAGTCATGGTTACGTCAAACACGTGCCCATCTGAAAGACAGGACGCACGCGCACAGGAATTGAATAATCGATTTGGGTGAATTTTCAATTACAAGTGAATGATTTCAGTTTGTAGTTAGTGCGATGCTGTTGAACAAAGATGTGCTAAGTAATGAGTTGGTCGCTTGCTGAGACCCTCATCAGCTCCATTTGGTATTGATGAAAGAGGACATCTTCGAGATTGACGAAGATGGAGGCAAAGTTTCTATCCCGCCGCCGACTCCTACCTAACAAGAGCTCGACTTCCTCAGGTCTCCAGTAGCAAATTCGTAGCAACCTGATTTCAAAAGCAATTTGATGTGGGTGGAGGGGCTTATTACATGCTGTCACCCTAGAGCTGATAAGTTGTATTCTGCAGAAGTATATTATAAATAATCTACACTTCATGGATAGCCGTGCGAGACAGGCTTTGTTAATTCCATTAGGGCGTCTGAGTAAGCTATGAAGTTTTATAGAAAATTAATTTGTTGAAGTGATTAGGAAATATTTGCAGTTGATTTTTTTTAGTTCCAACTAAATTATCCAACCTATATTTGTTCCAAGTTCAATTCTGTTAATTTAGCAAGCTCCTCTCAAATGCCCTTTTACTCTTAGTATGACTTTTGCCCTTATTGTGAGTTGTATTTGCTATTGCAACTTTTCTTTCTTTGTTGCCAATTTATCCTCTACTTTTGTTTTGATCCCCTACCATAATTTTTCATGTCAAATTTAGAATTATATAACAATTTTAAAGCATAGATGTAATTTTTATATTCAACATTAGTTAGTCTTTTCCAACTTTTTTTCCTATGAGAAAATAAAAGTAAGAAGTAAAAAATAAAAAATAAAATATTAGAGAGGAAAAACTATTTGCTAAAAAATTAATAAAGTATAGCATAGGAGCCACAATAATAGCCCCTTCTCTTCATTATTAGGATTTAGGATCTATAGATTATAAATTTATGATTTAAGATTTAAAAATTAAGAATATAAGATTTAGGATTTAGGAATTACATAAGTATCTTAGGCTTTTTGATCTTCTTATTTTTAGATTTTGATTTAACCTATCTTTCTATTTATGATATTTATAATTTTAATAATATAAATAACTTGCTCTAGTCATTCTTAGTTTGCAAGATATAACTACTTTGATTTTGACATTTGGATTTTGATTTTTGTCATATAAGATTTTTTATAAGTTTTGAAAATACTATTAGAGTTTATAATTTTTTATGATTTAAGAATTTTTAAGGGTTTAGGGTTTAGGATTACAAGGGCATCCGAAGGTTTTTGATCCTAAATATTGTACAGTTTATCATATTTTTTTCAGTTTTGAACGCTCGGGCGCTAAACCCTAGATCTTAAATCTTAAACCAAACCTGACAAGCGTTGCAAGCTCGGGGGCTGGATGGATACGGGCAGTCGTTGGTAGTGTCGATACATCGACAGCATTTGGATCGTTTGAACTCGATGCCAATGCTGTCGATACCAAGCACGAGAGAGCATTGAAAGTTGTACTCGAGGATGCATTCAGGGTCGAAACGGACGTGGCTAGAGGGAATGCGCTCAGAAGCCAATGATGGAGATTTGAGGTTCACGTTCGGCATCGACTACGTAGTGGCTACAGCAACAGTGTACGACGGCATCGTCGCTGCTGCATCGATGCTCAAAGAGCGTCTCGGGACGTCGATGAAGGTATCCAAATGATGGGATCAGAAGGAGCGATGGCAGGTGGAAGAGAACTAGGACGAAGAGTCGATGGTGAAGCAGGTGGAGAGCAGGCAAATCCAGGGCAAAGTCGGACTTGGACCACGTGAACGACTCGTTAGTCGGTGTTTGTTTTGACAAAGTAGAATCTGGTACACATTTCAACTCGACACACAGTTTTTAAATGATAACAAATATGAAAGTCGAATCCCGAATTAGGATCTTTAGACCCTAATTAGGATTTTTAAATCCTAAATTATAAAAAATGAAACACAGATTTTTGAGAAATAAATACGTTTATAGAAGTCTTTGGGAGAATTTAAGATTTGACAAAATTTCAGAACGAAAAAAATACTAATACATTGAGAGATATTTAGGATCAAAAACCTTTAGGATATTCTAGTAATCCTAAAATCCTAAATCCTAAACCCTAAACCCCTAAAACCTAAACTCTAAACCCCTAAATCCTAAACCCTAAATCTTAAATATAGAACCCCAAGACCCTAGAACCTTGAGATCCTAAGACCCTAAGACCTTCAAACCCTAAGACCCTAAGAACCTAAGACCCTAGAACCTACAATCCATCTAGTCAGCCTCGATGACAAATTTTACGACGCCACACACTTGGGATTTATTTTGGCACAACAAAATTTGATACGCATTCCAACTCTATACACATTTCTCATATCATAATAAATCTAAAACTGTCAAGGACAAGAACTCAATGAAAGCTAAAGAGTAAGTGAGACTTTTCTCAAAAAGAAATAGGACAAAATAGAAATATGTATATTAAGAAAGAAACTGGAATGGCTATTGCCAAAATACAAGAAAACTAGAGACCCTTGAAACTAGACTAGAAGCAAGAAAGGAGTTGACAAGAGTGAAGAGGGCTTCACTCTTGCCTCTATATATACTATCTAACTAGAAGCCACGTGGCGATGTTCTATAAGACCTCCAATATATGTTGACTTTCTAGGCCACATGCCTTTGCTTACAAGGCAAGTTTTCTATGGATGGACCACGTAGTTAGCTTGTTCTTTAAGCTTCCAACATGCGTGGCACATGGCTAACTTGTTGACCAAGTTTCTAACCTAAAAGTCAACTATAGACTCCTATAAAGTCAAAGCAGCGTCTATGAAGCTTCTAAGAAGCTTCTCTAGAAGATATTACACAATTAACCTACTTTTATATACTTTTATCTATTCATATAGGTAATTATATGTATGTCCGTGACATTACCCCCCCTTCTAGGGACGAGTTCCACGAGGAGCGGTGATTATATATTGAGAAAATCTAATATGCGGCGAATTGTATTTGCTACATACTCTGATCTTTGTTCTCTTCGAAGATAGTTGATGGGTCCTCTTAGCCATCGATAGTGTCCCATTCAAGGGCGAGAAGACCACCCTGTTATTTGATCACTGTTGAGGCCTTCATAACTTCCTCAATCTTGTCTCTTTTATAAGAGAGGTTTTCATCTTGGTTTTGATGGATGTCGTTGATGAAAAACTTTGACTTTAGCTGATGCATTTGCTAGATTCCTGGATGGCTCCCATGTGCGCTCACTAATATCATATCCGCACCAATGAACAAGATATTCCAGCTTATTTCGGCGCCGCCTTGAGTCTAATATCTCTTCCACCTCAAATTCTTCATTATTATCTACTTCTATAGGAGGCGGTGGCATTTGTCTTCTTCCTTGTATATCCACTGTCTTATATGGTTCAAGAAGAGACACGTGGAATACAGGATGGATCTTCATTGACTCCGGTAGATGTAACCGATATGCAACTGGGTTGATCTGTTCAGAAACAGAAAAGGGGCCAAGCCTACGATAGTCCAATTTATCACAAGGTCGAGTGGTCTTGATATTGCGACGAAGTAGCCATACCTTATCACCCACGTTGAGTTGTGGTTGCTCTTTACGATATACATCTGCATTTATCTTTTGTCGTTCTTGAGCTTTCTTCAACTGCGCCTTCATTATTGCATGTAACTCTGACAACCGATTTGCCATATCTTCTGCTGCAGGATTATCAACTTTTGAAAAATCAAAAGTATCAAGTCGTGGATGATAGCCATAATTGGCAAAGAAAGGTGTTTGTTGCGTGGAGGAATGTACCGTATTATTATAAGCAAACTCTGCCAATGGCAGAAGGTTTGTCCAATCATCTTGTTGGTAGTTGATGGTACACCTTAAATACTGTTCCAAGACTTGGTTTACGCGCTCTGTTTGTCCATCAGTTTGAGGATGGAAAGCTGAAGATAGCTTTATGTCCACTTTTAAAATCTTGAAAAGAGTCCTCCAAAATCTCGACACAAATTGAGTTCCCCTATCCGATATGATATCTTTAGGCAATCCATGATAGCGATAGATATTATCAATGAAAAGCTTAGCTGTTTCTTCACCTGTGATAGATTTTGTACATGGCATAAAATGTGCCATCTTGGTGAAACGATCTACTATCACAAATATAGAATCATAAGATCTTGAGTTTGGAAGATCTG